TTTGCATGCATATCCTGTTTGTTATTGTGTCCTGGAAAAGATTAGTTTAATGGGCATTTTGAATGCATATTCTCGACGATGTTTCCCATCATTAGTAGTTTCTTTGTTCATATTGCATTTTTAGTATCTGTATTTGGTATTTATTTCAAATCGCCAGTAGTTCATGACATTAAACCACAGTCCAGTCCTCTAGAAGCTCTTGCACGCAGGCTTGTTTTAATGGTTGCTGATGGTTTACATGCTGATTCCTTTTTGGGGGCAGATGATTTATTTAAAGCAAATGCCTTGCACTTCAGGTATGCAGCAGCAGCAGCAGAGAAGTTAGAACATTATTGTGTTATAGTTAATGAACATAACCTAAATTTTTTGATAACTTGACTGGTTTCAGGTATGTAATTGAGGAGAGGGGAGCATGGGGTGTCTCTCATACCAGAGTACCAACAGAATCACGCCCTGGACATGTGGCATTATTTGCTGGATTATATGAGGACCCATCTGCTGTAGCCAAGGTTAGAAATTGTTGCGATGAGTGATTTTATTCTTATAATTTTTAATTAACTCTCTATGTCAGAATTGAGTGTGTCTTTAAAACAGGCTTACAGTTGCTTCGAGTAAGTTAGACTGGTTTAACTTAGGGTTAGTAATTTTAAATAGAACCTAAATTCTTGGACAGTGTATGAGGTTTGAATATACTGGAATTGCATGTTAGATGCAGTAACAGTTAATAAAGTTCAAATCCGGTGACATGTGTACACAGTCAATATATTGTTAAGTCACTGCATATTCTAGGTTGTGATTCCTATAGGTGGATACTAGGGTCATGGTATTTTGACCATGCAGGGTGGCATAGTCATTAGTTCATTAATTGTGGATTAATTCAAAGGAACATGCTGCCTCCATATAAAGGATTGAGGCAAGGTTGTCTGGGCAAGGTATGTTTCCCCAGTCTCATTGACCCAAAAAGGGGACAGCAGCAGGTTCCTCCAAAACATTGGTAACCGTCTACAGTAATATACTGTCTTACTCCAAAAGAACAAAATTCAAACATTCACCACTGTGACAACAATCTTACATTGTTGCTTATTGTATACTGTGTGTAAAGAAAAAATTACTTAAAAAGTGTTGGATTCTGGGATGTAATATTGTTCATCTGGTAGAAGTTTAGCCATTTTGTAGAGGAATGTAGTGCCTATATGTTCAGGGTCAATGAGTAAGCCAAGCAAACAGTAGAAAATTTGCTTGCTTGTTTACTTGCTCAGTTTACTTCTTGACCCTGAAGATGGAAGCAGCACATTCCTGTGAAATGTCAGTAAACTTTTAACAGAGTACATAGTGTCATATCTCAAAAGAGAGTTCTCTTCATAGTCACCAATCTGAGAAACTCAGATCTAACAAAGAGTACACTTTTGTCATGTTATGCCCGTAAATACAGTCATACTGCAGGCCATTCACTATATGGTTAAAAAAGAAAGTATTTATGGTTGTACGTTGTCTATCCTTTTGTTTTATTACTTTTTATTCTTTATTTGTTATATTTTATTTTTCTAGGGTTGGAAAGACAATCCAGTAGAATTTGACTGTTTTCAATGAAAGTCGGTACACATGGTTCTGGGGAAGTCCTGACATACTTCCCATGTTTGCCAAAGGTTTGTTGTTTTAATATGTAATGTATCGAAGTACTTATCTTTATTTCTCTGAAGACATAAGATTAAGGCTATGTAAGGATGTAATTTTATGTAGCTTGGTAAAGAGGGAGTGAAGTTTTGGGTATCCCTAAGATGGAAGGAGCAGGTTTATATCCAAAATGTTTCTAGCTACCAAACTACACGTTGCAGGAAACAGTAATTTTAATATCCACCATGGTGAGAACCTCAAATATCACCCTTGAAGACTTCTTTAAATGTAACCCTGCCTACCCTTGCTGCAACATATAAATGGCAGCAAGTCCCTACAATTGCATATTTACCTTATTTTTAGATCTTCCTTGGTATGTAATAATAAATTTATAGTAATTTTTGATAATGGAAATACCACAGGAGCATAATGTTGCCATTTGTGGATAAGAAGATGAAATGACTAAGACAATCTAAGTGCAACTTAAAAGCATCTTACAGATGTAGTATGGCTGTTTCACCAAAGCAGCCTTCTATGTCTCAGAAGCATTGTTAGTTAACAGTGAGATAAACCTTTCACATTTTTGTTCAGGTGCAAGTGGAAACCATGTTTATGTAGACATGTATGGCTCTGAAGTTGAAGATTACTCTGGAAGAAGATCCACAACAAGGCTTGATACATGGGTGTTCAAGAAGGTTGAGGAGTTTCTGAACCGTGCCAAGACAGATGCTGTTCTTAATCAAAAACTTAATCAAGATAAAATTGAATTTTTCCTACATCTTCTTGGACTCGATACAGCTTTTCATACACATAAACCATATTCAGTGTAAGTGTTACAGAAGTGAGTGTTTTAAGTCATACTCCAGTTACTTTATCCTTTCAGCCTTTGGTATGTGTTAGATAGTAGATAGCTTGCAGGTTCCAAAGCTGTTGTGGGCGTGATGGTGATTCGGTCTTGCCAAAAATCAAATAATAGTTTTCCACTCCATGGGCAGCCACTGGTCTATCAGTAAGTACAGTAAACTGCGAGTTATCCTGTATCTGGGCATCTGAAATGCTAATTCAGTGATCAAAAATTTCAAAGGAAATTTACCATGCTTATAAGTTACTCAAAAACATACTTGCAGTGCACATATATTCACCCTTCATTTGGTAGTTCTCGCAGCCACCTGTAGCGCAGCTACCTGCGTCTCCTTGTGATGCAGTATAGTATATGTGATTTAAATCTATCATCCATCAGTCTGCCTTGTTACCTAGAAAGACAACTATGTACTGTTATATGTAATGTTGAACACTGGGTTCTAGTAGCCCTCCTGTTATGGAAATATTATAAATTCACAATATATTATTATCCTTCCATGTATATAGATTTTGAGATTTTTATGGCAGTGAATGTTCAGATTTCGGTATTCTGGGTTGTGACACCTTATAGCCTTGTAGGCAGATACTGACATTTCAGAAAAACGGACAGGGACCAGTGAAGGCCTCTTGTGAACACAGTAGTGAACCTTCAGGTTCCATAAAATGCTGGGAAGCTCTTGAGTAGCCGCACAATTGGAAGCTTCTCAAGAAGGGCTCAATTTCATGTTGCCTACATTTTTGGAGCTGAAGATGGAAACATCCCCCCCCCCAAAAAAAAATATCAGTATCATGGTGACACAGTCAAGAAGACTAGATTCTGAAGACCTCTTCAGTCTATTTTTGCCTCTGTCCCGTTTCCATTAAGTTTCACATTTTTTCCTATGACTGATATCTGTAGAACATATCTTTATAATTTTTCCCCTATATTTGCATTGTTTCTTGTTTTGAAACAGAGAATACAAGGAGAACATAAGAGTTGTTAATGCAGGAATCAAGAGAATTGAGGAAATGATCGAAGAGTTTTATCAACATGACAGGAAGACAGCTTACGTATTCACATCTGATCATGGCATGACAGACTGGGGTGAGGAACGCATTATATGCTTTCTATACAAGGTATCATTGTAAGAATTCAGGAATGGATAATCTCCTCAAATGTAAGGAAAACATAAATGCACCAAGGATGGCAGATCCTAAATTGGAAGATGTGCTGAAATACAACACTCTAAAAAAAATGACTAAATTGGATATTTTCTTCATCCTCAAGTATCATTTCCTTCTTCTCCCTGTCAATGGGCAAGAAGTCTCCAACCTTTTCTGTTTTCCCACCACCTTTGCTCTTTGATCTTGTACCAGCTCTTTCCTCTCTTCTTCCCATTTTTCAAATCTAGCTAACCTGTCTCTCTGTGGGTTATCCATTAGGTCTCTCCATAAAATTTGAGATAGGGTGCCCATCTCGATGCCCTTGTTCTGTCCTTTCTGATTTATGGGGTTGGGTTATAACAAAGCTGTCAGTTTCAAGATTATGTAACATTGTGTGGTTCAGGAGGTTCTGGACTATTACCTGTAGACTAATTTGAACTCCTCAAAACCTTTTATTTTTAATTTAGTCTCTTCATTATTCAGGAATCATCATATAATGTAACAAAGTAAATAACAGGTAGATAAGTAAACTGATGAATGTTTGTCAGCAATTTCGATCTCACACATTCCTTGAATTTATCCTGGAGGTGCTGGCAATTTTATGTGTGTTTGTAGGTTCCCATGGATCAGGTGCTAAGAGTGAGACAGAGACACCCTTGGTTGCNTGCTTGGTTGCCTGGGGTACAGGTGTGAGAGGACCCCGACTGACTACAACTGCTGAACATTCCAGTCCAGCTTCCTGGAGACTGGGACATTTGTTTCGCAGTGATGTTAGTCAGGCAGATGTTGCACCACTAATGGCAAGCCTGATCGGAGTCCCTGTGCCAGTCAGTTCTGTGGTGTGTCTTGGTTTCTTAATTGACTAAATGTTTTAATGGCTCTATTTTTTTTTTTTCTAGTTCATTTGTTTCATAATACTCTCCTCAGTGTTGTGATATTGTATTATCTAATAAGATGATAGATGANAACTCTTCCACGAGACTGCCTGGAAGTCACAGAACATCACCTGTCTGAATTAATGTTTTCCAGTGCTCATCAGATGGTTGCACAGTACAAAAACAAACGAGAGCTGACTGAGGCTGGAAGTTTATCATGGATATATAGAGAATTCTCACATTAGAGCTAAAAGATACACTGAATCCATAAGTATGTTTTTGTCATTTTTATGTGTCTAGAAATACAAAATATTTCTTAGTGAAAATTTTGCTCTGATGACTCAGAATAAGTGTTGTAGTATTTTACATAGAACACGTTTCTCTGTGTCACAACTTAGGAAAAATTCTCTTTCTTGTGTATTTGCATAAAATAGTTGCAAGATGTGTCTGAGTGTTACATATTTGGATTCAACCCATAATTTTAATGTGCCTTGTATCTGCAAAATGAAGTTATGATATTCATTGCATAATAAAGATATTGGGCTCTAAAAATTAGGCTGCGTACTTCAAAGTCTTTGCTCTTCTGATGTTCATGTGATGAATTCTATTTTCCAAGTGTAGCTGTGATGATGTAACCTTTAGTAAAGAAAATTCTGCTGCTTAATTCCAGAAGACTGAATAATGACACTATAACTATTATATTTTTTGGTATTATATTTAGGTTACTTTATTTCAAAGTTTTTTTATGGAACCCAAGGTTCATTACCGTGTTCACAAGAGCCCTTCACTGGTCCCTATCCTGAGTCAGATCAATCCAATCCATACCATCCCATCCTATCTCTATTAACATCCATTTTAATATTGCTCACCCACCTACGCCTTGGTCTTCCCAGTGGTCTCTTTCCATCTGGCTTTCCCACCAATATCCAAATGCATTCACCTTCCCCATTCGACCTACATGCCCTGCCCATCTCATTCTCCTTAACTTGATCATTCTAATTATATTTGGAGAAGAGTTCAAGTTATGAAGCTCCTCATTGGGCAGTTTTCTCCAACCTCCTGTCACTGCAGCTCTCTTCAGTCTAAATATTCTCCTCAACACCCTGTTCTCAAACACCCTCAGTTTTTGTTCCTCCCTTAATGTCAGAGATCAAGTTTCACACCCATACAGAACCACAGGCAAAATTATAGTTTTTTATATTGGCGACTCCTCTAGAAGGGCTCAGCTCCATGAGTAAGTAAGTATTATTTTTTTTTTTTACTGCTAGGCCCTTGTACTGCGGCCACTTCTGGCCTATTGTACCAGCCCAAGATGATAGGTGAGGGTGATTGTGGAGCAATTAGTGGAATGAAGATTGGCAGGGGAAACCGAAGTACCTTGAGGAAACCTGCCCCAGCGCCACTTTGTCCATCACAAATCCCACTTAACCAGACACGGGATCGAACCCAGCCTGCCACGGTGGGAAGCCAGTGACTAACCATTTGAGCTATGGTGCGGCTGAGTAAGTAAGTAAGTATTTTAAAGTTTAAAAAATTAGAGTTTTGCTTTTGGTTGTATTTACTGATGAATTATAATTAGCAACCAACCATCATATGAAAAGCCAAGCCCCATTCAGAATTGCTTCTTACTGCAATGATTCCACACTTCTGTGGGTTTTCTCACACCTAAGCCTCTGTGTAGCTCTGCCTTCCAGAAACTCCTCATAATTGTCCTTCTATAGTCTTCCTTTTTCTGTGTGACATTGTTCTTAATCTGTTGTACCCATCTTGGTCTTTATTTTGGTAATTTTCCTCCTATTTTCGTGTTATGATTCTTTATTCATTCATAAAACTTGTCTTAACCATCTTAGTCTGCAATTTATTAATTTATCTTTCAATTCTACGATTTTTAGTTTCTCAGTCAGGTAGCACATATGACAAAGTAATGTGGTTGTGAAAAAAGAAATAGCCCCAAGATTTTGATGGATATACACTTTTTATTTTTCCAGATGCTAGATATTTATGAGTTTGTCCATCGTTGATTAGTGCCCAGTGAATATGAACACCCTAGTTCCAAAAGTAGGGGCCCTTAAGATGGATCAAAAAAACAAAATTCCAATTTTCTGAAAAACAATTAGAACAGTTTTCATTAAATTTCAGTAATTTTGGAGATCTCCCTAAATAAAACAGCATAGGTTATGTCATCAGGAAAAGAATGATATGCCCTCTAGTGGCCTGAACTCATACATAAAAAAGTATGTGCAGCGGCTTCCCACCAGAATTTTTATATATTATTCTCCCTCTTGGTTTTTTTTTTCAAAATCCCAAGAGAACTATCACAGGAAAATATTTAATTATATGTTCTGTTTCCAGATTGTTGCAAGCGAAGAACTAATAGCCTTGAGTCTCTTAGGATTGAACTATTACCAGAATTACTACCGGCGCCTTCTGACTTGTGTAACTCTTCCATTTCTTGGTTGGATTGCCTGGCTTCTTCACTCCCTAGTTGGTGATGACAGCAGTCATAAAAAGAGCCCTTCATTTCTTCATATCCAACATGATGAAGTATATTAGGAGCATGAGCTCTTGAACTTTACTCATTGTAGACTATTCAGATGGGCTGCTGGGTGAACATTACCTTTTTGTTCCTAGTTATTCTGACTATGGGTCTGACTTGCAGTAAGTAAAATTGTAATATTGTCCAGAATTCATATTTAATCCAGTGTTTTTCAGTCTTATCCATTTTGTTGAAGACTCAATTTAGACTAATGTAAACTGTGCTTTTTCTTCCAATACAAATGTTACCCCTTCAATTCTATATATACTCTCTGCTTCCCAAGTTAATCTTGTGGGCTGTAGCTTGACACTGGGCTGCACTTATGGCAGCCATATCTCATGTCAGGAGCTCAATGGGTCTACGAAGATTGTTGATGTTCTTTGTCTACCATGTTATAGGAATTGAAATACTTGTAAGTAATGACTGCGTATGCCTTATATGATCCTTAGCCATGTCTTGATCATGTTAATGTTGTACCCTGTTACATTAAGGGGTATCCAGCCCTAAATGTCAGTAAAATAAAATATTCTATATGCAAAATGAAAACAAACATTATGCTTCTAACACTTGCATGTAGTGTGGTAATTCTCGAAGTCATTTTCCTTCTTGATCAAGTCACCTTCTGTGTGCATATGCATGTATTGGAGCTCCATACTGCCCCATCTTTCTTCACTTAAAGAGAGGAAATAGTCTGTCTGACACAAAGTGGATTGCATTATTCAGTTGGCAGAGTTTAAATTGTGTGCCCGTATTATCAGATGTATCCACATCAAGTAATGCTGATATACACATCTGTGATGCATTTAGACAAGCACCTGAAAGAGCACATAGTGCCTTGCAACAGAATGGGCCCCTACATTGTATGGTGACCCAAGACAATGCCAGATGTATACACAAAACATGTCAGAGCAGGCCTTGCAAGTCTCTTTACCAAGCAAGTTTAGGATTAGGCTTGGCATGTCCATCTGTGCATGGTGTTTTGTATGAAAGTCTGAAATTTCAAACCTACAGGCTTGACTTGGTCCGGAAGACAACATGCACAAGAGAACAGTCTGCTTTAGAATTGGTTTCCCATATCAAACATGACGACCTATCTCAGCAAATTTGTTTTCTGATGAAGCAGTGTTTCATGTATGTGGACGTCAACATGCACGGCTGCCATGTATTGCAGTTAGTGAACATGAGCATTGTTCACCAAATGTCAGCGTATGGTGCGCTATGATGAAAAACAACATCAGTCTTTTCTTTTTTGGAGAACTGATATGGCTGGTGGGAGCGCAGATATCTCAGTTCTTATAGCAGTTGGCTGTGGGCTGGACGGCCTGGGTTTGATTCCCAAGAGGGACAGGGATTTTTCTCTCCCACAACATCCAGACTGGCTCTGGGGCCCACTCGACCTCCTATCCAATGTGTACTGGGAGGTCTTTCCCAGGAGGTGAAGCAACTGGGCTATGAAGCTGACTGCTCATCTATATCTAGTTCCAAGGTCAAGAATGATGTAGCTATATCTCCACTTCTCATTACATCATTAATAGTAAAAAAAAATCCATCACCTCAATTTTTTTTTTTTGAAAGCTCATATTTTTAGTTTAATTTTGCGTGAAATTTCTCTTCAACATGAAATCTGGTATCCTATTGTTGATTCTAAAAACCATATCCAATAC